CGCTTGCGGCTTTAATTATTATTACTACTATGGTTGTTGTTACTGTTGTTGTTACTGTTGTTGCTGATGTTGTGTTGGTGTTGTGTTGTTTTTCTGAGGTTTACACCGACACCAACTTTTGAAATACAGAAGGATATGAAGGATAGCATGCAGAGAACTTACAAACAGAAACCAAGCCTGTGCTCAGCAGATGGGAGCAGAGGAGATATCTGTTGCATGCCTGTATAAATGCTGCAGCGTTTCTAGACTCGGGAGTCACTTGCTCACAATCTGGACTGTGCATGTGACTCCTTGCTGCAAGTAAAACTTTGCTTTGACTAAAGAGACGACTCTGTGTGTTGATTTGGAGCAGTTAGGACTCAAGTACCCATCTAATGTTGGGAGAAACGCTTTATCTGCATCTTATTCAAGCTACATTTTCTTTTCTTTTTTTGGCTCATATGTCAGACACAGTTTCTGCAGGCACTGAATCAGATGACCGTCTCCACACACAGCTGTGTACAGAATCGTAGATGATGCTCCTAAAAAGCCGCCGTGCTCTCTCTCCTCATCCTTGTCCACGTTTATGGGCTTCCTGCTTTTATATAAAGATAAAAGATAAAGATAACTTTATTGATCCCACAGTGGGGAAAGTTCACCGTTACAACAGCTCCAAAAAAAAAGTGTACAGTCAGTGCAAGAATAGTTGGGAACACCCAGTGCAAAATGTAGGAAAGAAACAGAAACAGAAAACACACAGTGCAAAAATTGCAAGAGAGAAAAAAACATTATAGACAGAAGATGTTTGTTTTTTGCTTTTTTTTATAAAGAAGACTGTGTACACAATATATGCGACTATAAACGCTGACTTCAGAGGCCTCCATACGACAAGGCACCACGCTGTTCTGTTGCTGTTCTTTTTCACGGATTCGCTGAAGTAAAACCAAACAAAACCTACTTTTGAGCAATAAGTGAGCCAGTCGGCCTGCAGGACCTCAGAGTGACTCCAGCTTTTCTTCACTCCAGCTGATGAGTGATTGCCACCAGCTGTCCTCTGCAGGTGATTCTTCTGAACTGGGAGGTGTTTGAGATGCAGCCTGGATTATCTGGACTGTCCCAACTTTGTGGTTCTGTGAAATCCAGTATCATTTTACTTTTCTTGCTGACAGGAGCTTCTGCTGGAGAAAAGCTCACGATGCAGACGGCGGGTGGTTCGGTCTTTCTGGCTCTGCTCATGTCAGTGGCTTTTGGTGCTGCAGAGGCCATTCGAACTTTAAAAGAAGGACCCATGATCGATGCAGAGGGGAGAGAATATAAATCTGCTCCACTGAGAACTGATCCATGGACTGCTGACTCGGCTGTCCGTGTGCGGTGCACGGACGCGTCCATGATCGTCGTGGTGAAGGCTGACCTGTACCACAACGGCCGGCTCGTGTCCCCTGGAGAGCTCTTCCTGGGACAGTCGGAGCGTTCAGGGAGCAGGCGGTGTCGAGCTGCTGCCGCCAGCGGCGCCGGTGAATATGTGATTGAAGCCGACCTGCAGGACTGCGGCGCTAAACTATCTGTAAGCTTTCAGTAGATTTATCTGAGTTTTTACAAGAAACCTTTGACTTGCTGTTTGATTGTCTCGTGTCTTGTGAAGATATCTGAGGACTCAGTGATCTACTCCAACGTGCTGACATTCTCCCCGGCTGTGGGTCGCCATGGCATCACAAGGACCACTCATGCTGCAGTCCCTGTTTCCTGCCACTACAAAAGGTGACGTTTTGCCTGTTATCTTGTACGGAGAAGCTGCATGTAGGGGCTCACACGCTGCAGAACGATTCCAGGAAGCGTTCTGAACACAGCGGGGCTGGACAGCTTCGATGCTGCTGTCTGAAAAACAACCGTACCAACTGCTCATTGGTAGTTTGGTGATTGTGTTGTTACTTGATTAACAGTCAGGTTAATGTGTAAACCTGAGCTCGTAGGAAGGTGGAGCAACGTTGGATCAAAGGACCAACTGTGAAGCTTAATTCACCAAATCGTCTCCTCGTGTATGTGATGAGACGGGCAGGAGACGGTTTTAGGCAGCGCACAAAGCTTTAATTTCCTGGATTCCTTGTCTGGTTTGTTTTCACTGGGATGTATGGACATTCCCAACCACACAGTCAGTCACAACTACACTTTGATGACTTCCTCATGATGGCTGACTTGTTGACTTTCAGGACCCACGTCGTGAGCAGCAGCGCTCAGCAGCAGCAGCAGCCTCTCACCGTCTCCACAAAGGACTCAGCAGGCAGCTCTGCTTTCTCTCTGAGGCTGATGGCTGGTATGTGGGAGTGTGATGCTGGATTCTCTGCATTCATGTGCATGTAGTGATGTTTTTGTCTCCTTGCAGATGACTGGACAAGCGAGCTGTTCTCCAACAGCTTCTACCTCGGAGACGTCCTGCACCTCGAGGCGTCTTACGCTGGTCCAGGACGGAGGCGGCTCTACATCGACAGCTGTGTGGCCACTCTGACGCCGGACGCAGCGTCTGTCCCCAGATACTACTTCATAGGAAACAATGGGTAAGAGTCGCTCAGTGCCAACATTCAGATCCCTCACACAGATTTGTAAGTGATGATGTTGTTCAGGTGCCTCACTGATGCAAAAGAAGAAGCATCAAAGGCACTGTTCCGACCCAGACTGAGGGCCGAGGTGCTTCAGCTGCAGCTCGACACCTTCCTCTTCCAAAAGCATTCAAGGAACTCGGTGAGTTGCCCAAAATCTGCCTCATTTAACTTGTTTGGAAATGCGTCAAGGTTGCATAGTGGAAGTTGTGTGGTTTTCTCCCTCTTTAGATATTTATAACTTGCCAACTGAAAGCGACACCTGAAGTATGGATGAGCAGCTCCATGAATAAAGCCTGCAACTACATCCAGTCAAGGTGATTTTATCTTCTAGTCTCGGAGCCTTGGAACCGTCAGAGTGGATCCAATTTACTGCATCAGTACAAGCATTCTGCCACTTCGTAGAAAACAACTCTACCTTCTGGCCTCCTTCAACTGTACATTAATTTAGCGACCCTTATGGTGATTGAAACTCAGTCAGAGTAGCTATTTTATGGTCAAATATACAACAATAAATTACTATAAAAATGCAGAGATTATGCACAGTTTTGACCTTTTTTTAACAAGTAAATTCATGCTTTGTTTCTGGGATTTACTGGTTATCTGTAGTTTAACAAAACAGAAACTTGTTAAAATCAGTTAGAAATGGTTAAATGTTCTTTATGTTCTACAGTGCAGATGAGACATTTTTTCTATCAAAGATTTTCTAAAAGAAATCAAGAATTGAGGGCAGCACGGTGGCTCGGTGGTTAGCACCGTCGCCTCGCAGCTAGAAGGTCGCCGGTTGGCGTCCCGGTGAGGACACCCGGGATCTTCCTGCGTGGAGTCTCCATGTTCTCCCCGTGCAGCGTGGGTTCTCTCCGGGTTCTCCGGCTTCCTCCCACAGTCCAGAAACATGCTGAGGTTAATTGGTGATTGTAAATTGTCCGTAGGTGTGAATGTGAGTGTGCTTGGTTGTCTGTCTCTAAGTGTAGCCCTGTGATAGACTGGTTACCTGTCCAGGTGAACCTGCCTTCACCCTGAGTCAGCTGGGATAGGCTCCGCCCCCCATGACCCTAGTGAGGATTAAGGTGTAGAGATGATGGATGGAAATCAAGATATGATCAGAAAATGTGGTGTCTGTGGTGATCAGATGTCATGTGGGCTCACAATGAGATGCATTTTTCCTTCTATTACAGTCTATTCAAGTGTTTGTGTCTGTTCAGGTGGAGAAACGTGGACGGCGATGACGCTGCATGTCGGTGTTGTGACAGCAGCTGCCACACGAGGCCGCCCACACGTAAGTACAATGACAACAGAAGCTTTGCGACTTTCATTAGTAGTCACTGGATTCATAAAGAAACCAACTGTCTGGTAACAAAAATGAAAAACTGACTGTTTCAGGTATCGCTCTTTGTGGCACCGTGACTCTCGGACCGCTGATGATTTCTCCCCGCAAGTAAGCAAAGAGCAAACATTAAGACAATAAAAGACTTCCAGCGGTTCTTTGCTCATATGACTTGTGATGTTTCTGTCCTGATGGGAGTCTTCCAGGACAACACATGTGGAGCCAGAAAACAGTTTGATAAGTTGGACAGGGTTTGGATCGTCTGCTACGGCCGGAAATCCCAGAATTCAACCCCAATAAACACCTGAGGGACACATGTTCAATCCCTCCAGGAGATTCCAGAGTTACTGCTGAGGAAACCTCAC